CTTCTTCTCTACTTGTCTTTGCACCGCCACCACCTCCTCCTCCTCCTCCTCCTCCTCCACAGCCTGTTCCCCTCCGTCGCCTTCCCGACGCCTCGCTTACAGGAGGCTTTTTTTTTTGCTTTTTATTTATTTATTTATTTTTTTTTTACCTAAATAATCCGCGCATCGCCAGAATTTTGCATCTCATCGCACGTACGATCGTGCGGAAAGCAGATTACAGGTGGTCCAGTGGGATGCTTGCCTCACGATTATTACGATTAATCTGGCCGTTATGGTTTGGAGCATCGCTTACAAGGCCTTGCCCATGATACAAAAGTAAAGTACTTTGATAACACACACAAACACACGCACGCGCGTGTGTGTGTATGTTAATGGTTAAATTCACTCAATAATATTACAAGTAAAATTATTTTTTCAACTGTTTTTTTTTTCTTCAAAATTTTAAGTGGGCCAATTATAATTTGCTTATTGGCACTTTTAAGTTCTCTTTTGTATCAACAAACATAATTGCTATATTCTGGCTTTGCGTTACGTACTTTCATTAATTTTAGAACCGCATAAATTATGAGACAAGCAGCTCGAAACATTAAAATTGACAATATTAAAAGTAGATCAAATAATTAATTTGAATAATTTATTCGATTAATTAATTATAAGAAACTCATTACGATCATAATCTAATCTTTCGTGTTTTTAAATATTATAAGCTTACTTTTAAGCATTTTGAAATATACGATCGAACATTACAATTAAATTTATGATTTAATGCAATCGCAGCGCGCCATTATTTATACTTAATAATAGCAAAGTCACTCAAAGTTGATTTGACATTTTTTCTATTTAAATTGTATCATATTTTATTGCGCTCTATCCTAATGTAAGTACTTTCACATTTTGTTGTGCAGTTCTTGTTTATTAATCGACGCAACTTGTCCTTTCACGCACAGAAGAAATTTTCATATTTTTATCTTTGTATGGTAACAATTGCCGCAAATTCACGAGTAGTAGTAGCTCATACTCTGGCAAAAAAGTTTTCATAATTTTTAAATAATCTTAACAAATTAATGTTGAAGTGGCATAATAATAAATTTACTTTCTTATAAAATTCTATGATATTGATAATAATGATCGATTATAATATTAAAGCTGAGACGACTATTTTTGCGACGTATTATGAAATATCCGAGAAAATGTCATTAATATTATACAAGATGCCGTTTGATTAATAATTATTAAGGCCTACGCGTTAATTGCGTCTTAATAATGCATATGATAATTAAAAATTTGTTCTGTGCAAATTAATATGCAAAATATGATGAAGTTTTTGTATAGTATAATTGTAAATATTGTTGTTTTCCAAGACGGAGATCGGATTGGCATCCTGAAACATGTGTCAACGCACTCACCTTTTATAATTAAGAGAAAATTGTTTAGTTATTAATTAAGCAACTTATAAACTGTTTTGTATTTCTTAATGATAATTGCAGGACGAGAATTTTATAAATATTTACTCTACTTATAAATTAAACATAAATATATGTATGGAATATAATTGTTCGATAATGATATAATTTCTCGTCTCAATTGCACTGTTTACAAGCAGCATTTAGGAGAAGCAAGCGATTTCGTAAGTGTTGAGATTTAAAATTTATCGTTTACAGACTGCAACACTCAAATTATACTTTTATTTATACATATTTTTCACCTTCTCCGTTAAAGCATAAACTTTTATCATATACATAATTTGTTTAGTAGATTAATAATCGCTCATACAACAATGACTCGTCATATAGAATTTTTATCTTAGAGATCATATTAATCAATTTGAAAAAAAGCTTTGGCATATAGAGTTAAATCAAAATTAAATTTTATATCCTATCATTAAAAAGATATACAATTTATAAAAGTGCACATAATTGGAGTTAGTTGACCATTTTTCTGCCAAAATCATTTTAAGTTAACCGCATAATTAGTTTTTGCAATACACGCTATATTAAAAATTTGTATTCAAAGCAATCACATCAATTATATTGATTAAGTAAATTATTAAAGATCATTTGCATATCCTTAACGCATTCTGCTTATTTAATTGTCAATATTTATTTCGCTCTACGCATAATTCACGCACTATTATTTTTTCCATTACAACATTGATGACAAATGATGCCTTAATGACAAATACAGAATAAAATACAAATTAAAAAAATTGTTTTAAACAAAAGAACGTTGTACAACTATTTGTGCGATATTGATAATACCATAATATTCGATTGTAATTATATACATTATGTAACTAATATTTTTATACGTTTATGTGTGTATATATAAATTTTTATTCTCTATATCTTGTTTTGTGCTTTGCTATTATACTAAAAGTTAAAAAAAAAAAACAAAAAAAAACAAAAAACAAACAAACAAACAAAAATTTATGAAATGTAGCAATAAAAATGGTATTTGATAAAATATAAAGTATGCCTTGTGAGTATTTGTATTTTCTTCGAAAGGCATTTACTTTTTTTATTCCTAAATTTAAAAGAGCTACAATTATTTTTTTTTTCCTTTTTTTCCCTTTTTTTTTTTTTTTTTTTTTTTTTAAGAACATTCTATAATAATTTAATATATTTTTTATAAAATAAAATTGCTTTAAGGAGAATTTTAAAGTAATAAAGTAGCATTTGTCATTACGAAAAGGGAAATCCTTGCATGCCGCACGCGCATTTATATAAAATTTCTTGCCACAATCATATTTTTTATTTTTCTTTTTAGTTGTATTGACTGTGCAGTAATAACTGTTTGGCAGCAGAAATATAAATCTGAAATAATACATTTCGTTGGAATAAAATTGAAGAAATACATGTTAGCTTTATCGTTTTATTATTTCTCTTAGTTGATGGATTCAAATTAATTTTACTTAATGGCAATTTACCATTATATCCCAACACAATGTTAATATATAAATTTTTCCATTGTTTTATACAAATGTGTATATACAATTTATCAATATTTTAATGTTTGTATATTTGAATATATATATATATATATATATATATATATATTGACGTGTGTATTTAGAGAAAATATTGAGCGCGGTATTTGTAAAATATTAAATCATACTAAGAGACATTACTTTTCCACGTTACTTTTCATTGAAAATTCTTTAATAATAAGACAAAGCTGTAATTTACTTTGAAATACATTGTATTTACAATGATTAAGATGTAAAGTAAGGAGACATTTCACGTGCCAATTAATATATTAGTAATTATATTTATATTATTATATTAGTAATTATTATTCTATCGTTACCGTAGATTGTCCCTTGTAAGCTAAAAGTTTTGCCTGCACAAATACTGTACAATCAATACATCCTTATAAATAAGGAAAAGGAGAAGGTTGCTTGTAATTATAAATGTGTAGAATTTTTGCCGAAGTCGTTTCAAGTCTTGTAATGTGTACCCGACATTTTTACACAGCCACAATAAAGACAAGATTTCGTAATATTTTCTTTAAATCGATCATTTATATTTGTTCCCCGGCGATCATCATTAATTCAGTAAATTCTTTTTAAAATTTAAATTATATTTTTATTGTATATATGCATACGGTTATTTATAGGGACAAAAGATGCTCGCAGTTTTCTACAATTCTCTCAATTTAACGTCCTTTAAGTAATGATGATATTGTTCACCTGAGACTAGACGACGAATGAAATTGTAGTTTTCTAGCTGTATTTTATATTACTTGTTAAGTGCTGCTTTTAAGAGAGCAATGAAAAAATGGACCGCAAAGCCATGAAATTAACAGAAGCAATCGGGATAGTTAGAAATAAAATTACAAGCACGTGTAAGCTAGATTTTTTATATATTTGCAGTCTAAAAATAAGTAACTTTGACATTGATCGCCATTTACTTAATTAAAATGATGATTTTTTTACAAGATCTATATAATGAAATAATAATTTGTAATTTGTGTTTGATGTAATATGATCGAGAAGTCGTTGTTAGGTCTTAAAATAAGAAGAGATAAATAAATGAATAGAAGAGAAAAAAAATGGAAAAAAAGAAAAACATACGGACTCGGTATTTATAATTTTGTATGACTTTGTTTGTACGATGTGCGATCGTAGGACGAACGTTAATACGAGTTTGGGATTTCGGTAATAGGGAGGGTACGTAGGAGAGAATACGTGTTACGAAAAGGATATCAGAGAAGATTGTGCGCATCGAAAGTAAGAACGAGGAATGAGAGATGATAAATTAGCCTCAGCTCGTAATGGCTTACGGGACATTTAAAAGACAATGAATCGGATGGGCTGAGCGTGCAATTAAGCACTTGCCATTGGTCGCCGATAAAAATTCACATAATTCGAATGAATAAAGCATACGTATTTACAAACAAAGCATCGGTGATCGGGCTTACCGTACAAACGTACAAGCAGCCTTTGATCCACGAGCAATAAGCCAACATTCGCACCAATAGCGCATACCATGAAACCAAAAACAAAAGTAAAATTAAGGGTTATAAAGATATAGACAAGAGACGCACAATTTAAATGAATAATAAAAATGATGTTGGACCATGTGTGTGTTTGGTCTCTTTGCCTCGGTGACGGGATTATCGCCGACTGTCTGTGCGCTCTGCCTGCTCTCCCACTCACTAACAAAACAAAACTCTCGCTCGCTCACTCGCTCAATCGCTTGCAAAACGCGCTCGACGATCTGCAGGAATGTCGACCTGCATGCCACGCAACCCGGTCACCGGCAACGGCATTTACGTTAAGCCACACGGGTGTAGACGCATCGTGATGAGGAAAAAAGGTAAACGACATCATTATATTTTATACATCCCCATTTATATTTTTAACACACGCGCGCACACACACAAATATTCTGTCTTACTGTCTATTTGTCTCAACCCTCCTCATTTTACATCTTCATTAATCACTCCATCCAATCATCCATCCATTCGTAAATCATAATCAAACATTTCTTCACTTCTTTTACACGTACACCCTGGCAGATCACGCTCCTGGTACTTTATATCCCTTTACTTTTTCCTTCTTATTTTGCTTCTAGGCAATTTTCTTAGATTTGATGTACCGATTTTGCCGGACGCACCTTTATGGACACCTTTGTAATCAAAGTTATGATTTCATTCTTGAGCGATAAAGACTTGCTACCAATGCAGATCGTATTAAATAACGTAATCACTAATTAATTATTCTATTATGTCTTGTGCCATGAAAATTGTGCAACATCCAATTGGTATTGTATCGCGCATTTATAAAGTACCGAATTTTCATAAATATTCATTTGCTAACAAATCGTGTTTTAAAAAGTATATATATATATATATATATATATATATATATATATATATATATATATATTCATTATTTCCTTATAATCTTTCTTGCTTATACGTAGAAAATTTATCCAGTCAGCATATTTAAATAAAGTGTTTCTTTACAATTAGAATAGCCCTTCCAGGAAGTCTTAAACTACTACTTTATTAATAATTTGTTGTTCATTTTTTCGAGAGAAAAATTATAAAATGCAAAGTCGACCAACAGTCACACACGCTCGGCTGTTTTTCCAAATGAATAAAAATTAATGTCAATTTGTTGTATTAATAACCAGACAGGTGCTATATATAAAACTCACTAAACTTACTCAAACGTATAATGTTATAATAAACGCTTAATCTTAAATTGGTATTACATAAAAAAAGAATAAAGAAATAATAATAATAAATGGTATTAAATTAAAATTATAATTTAAAAGAATGTATTTTTTTGTATTTGTATATAATATTTGCTTATAATATTTAATTACCTCGCGAAAATGATAAATATGAATTTTTTAATTGATATTTTTTTTAATCTCAACTCACATTGACAAGATTGCAATTTATCTGTATTTCATTTATATTGAAGTAGGAATAAAATTTTTGGTAAGAAATGAGATAACGATTCAAGACTTTTTGTCCCTTTATTTAAATTACATTACGAAATTCTTCTCTAAATACCGATAATATGTTTACACCGTAAATCAACTTTGAAAATCAATGATGATACTAATTAATGTTGAATAATATATCACACAGACAAATACGGATTTCATCTCCAAATATTTAATAACAAATATTTACAACATTTATTATGCCTTTATGCGAATTATCTTATTTAATTTATTATTTTTTCTTTAAACGTTGGATAAAAATTTGTATTAAGCATGAGTTTAGGGTAAACGTCATTAATTATGTCTTGATATTCTTTCATGGATCCACTATATTTATTTATTTATTTATTATTATAATATTATTTATCTTTCCGTATCTATGGAGCTCTTAGGTTAATTGGTTAGGAAGATTATACACACTCGAATAGACAATTTCTTTATTAAATTATGAAAGGAAAAACAGCAAATGTTCGTTTTACGTCTGACACTGTCATTTTTACACATTTTACACAATAATACTTACTTTAAATTTATCGATAAATGATAAATTCAAAAGATGATTTTGATTCTCATCCAAGTCAAAAACAAACAAAGAATTTATACTTTCTTTATCAAACATCGATTCGCGAGATTTGCGAGAGAAATTGGAAGAAAAAAAAATTCTTAACGAAGTCTTTAACAAAAAAAAAAAAAAATAATTATCACCAAGTCGAAAACGAACATTCAAACGAGCTTTAGCAAAAATTACTCCAACTCTAAAAGAAATCGATAATAAAAAAAGAGCAAGCGTCATCGCTGTAGAGCTCGATGCGAGGTTGCGACCCCATAATTAATCCTCGATCCAACTCTCGTCTCAGATGGGAACCCCGTCACGGGCACTGGCTACGAGCAGCCAACGAACAACTTGTTGAGCGCCCAGCACAATGGAAACGGTATTGGCCACGGCCATGGAGGTGATACGCCGAGTATCGCCAGCGACAAGTCCAGCACCGATTCATCCCCGAGCGCCGGCGGTGTCGCCCGGATGAAGAATCGCGTACCGCCCGGTGGCTACTCATCCGGCCTCTGGTAAATGAAACGACGACCAGCGCTCAGCGACAAGGACGGAGACTGAATGATACGTCGGATCAAAGAGAAATGCATTCAGTGAAAAGATGAAATTTATCTCTACCGGTCTACAATGCTCCCTAATTATAATCACTACCTACTCGACGACAGCTGATCTGATCCATCGTTCTACCATTCTTCTTCTATCCTCTCTCCCTCTCACACTCGACTTATCACAATCGTCATCTTAATAAATTCTCCTTCAATTCGCCAATGCTCCGTCTTCTTCACCCCCGTCCCCCCGCAAACGCCATCATCCTCGTTACCTCCTTGCCCCAACCCCGCCCAACCAAATGCCAATCTCCGCCCGCGTAACTGATCATACTTAATACCACCATAAATATTGACCACGCGCTTAGATTTATATATATATATATATATATATATATATATATGTCTGTGTATAATCAAGGAACAAAATAATTAGACGTGCTCGCAAAAAGAAATGACAATGTGTATTATATGCGAAGAGAGAGATCGCTAGTACTACTACTACCACTACCACTACTGTTAATACTACTACTGCTACTGCTACTGCTACTACTACTGCTAATACTACTGCTACCATTACTACTACTACTACTACTACCACCACTACTACTGCTACTTCTACTGCTACTGCTACTGCTGCTTTTACTACTATTACTACTACTACTACTACTACTACTACTACTATTATTACTACTACTATTACTACTACCACCACCATCAGTACTACTACCACCACCACCAGTACTACTACTAATACTACCACTACTACAACTATTATTATAATTATTATTATTATTATTATGACAATCTAGTTTTTTTCTTTTTAAATAATATAATTATTACAAAAAAAAAAAAAAAAATGCAATTGAGACTTCGGTAGTAAAAGAATAAAATTTAAATACACAAAAACCAAATAAAATACACGAAATAAAAATAATACATGTTTTTTATGCAAAATGGTATTTTTCCTTTTTTATTCCTCAATTATATATTTCGAAAGTATTTTTAACCAAAAAAAATTTTGAATTTTTGTGCCGCTCAACCTATTATCATCGGCATTTAGTATGCGTACGATTCGCAACGCATGGAATATTTCTTTCATATGGGCGCAAATGGCACTGTGTCTTTGGAGTTTTCAAAATTTGAATCTCCCAGGATTCTCTCTTTTCTTCTACACTTTATGAACCAAAAATAAAAATAAAAAAAAAAAAGAAAGAAATAATATAACGAAAAAAGAGAAATAGCTATTCTTTAGTAATAATATATAATAAATGTTTTATAATAGAAGAACTATAAGTAATATATATTCTATAGGCTCAACCCTTTGATCGCCATGCTCCTTTAATTAATATTTCCAAATAATGAGTTCTTAGATTTGATTGTGATACAATGATCAAACGAAGTTTCATATATAAGATATAAATTTAGTGTAGCGAATGAAATGCAGAATTTGTACAAACTAAAAGCAAAAGCAACGTAATCTATCGGCGTATTTCTTAAATAAATTCTATTTATCTAATATTTATATTTACAAGAATTCGAAATTTGGAGTTCAAAGGGATAAGAGATATATGAATTGGTTTGATAGATTTGCGGACTATTTCGATAGTTAAAAAGTAAAAATTTTAACAATGTGACTTAATAAAGAGCAGGTAAAGAAAAAATTGAAAAATAAAAAATTATATATTTATACACCTGCATGCATACACACGCGCGCGCGCGCGCGCGCATACATACATATATATATATATATATATGTATATATATATATATATATATATATATATGTATGTATATATATATTTGTGTGTATGTAATTTTCTTTTTGGAAAGAAAAATCAATAAAAAGTGAATCGTATATAAAAATTAAGTCAAGGAATAGTGTTTTCTTAATCTTCGTGCCTTCAACACTATTATTATTATTATTATTATCATTATCATTATTATTACTATTATTATTATTATTATTATTATTATTATTACTATTATTATTACACTATGAATAACTACTACGATTATTATTATATTATATTATTCACAACTATCATAATAATAATAATTATTAATCAATTATGGTCATTTATCGTATAATTTTCCTGACTACTCGTTAATTAAACATTTATTCAAGTATATATAAGACCTGAAATTATAAAAAGAATATTTGTAAGGCCGCATAATATATTTCTGAATATTGTGAGAAATTATATACTATTTCCAATGATCGCCCTCATTCTTTATCATACATAGCATTTCGAATGATTGTTTTTTTCTTTGTAACTTAATTTACTTTATATTTTCCAAACTTTAAACATCTATATAATAATAATAGATGAAATTATATTTATCTCATAATTTGTAAGTAATATTTTCTTATCAAATTTAATAAAATATTTCTTACGATAATACAGCACTATTTTATTTCATGTTGTTTTTTTTTTTTTTTTTAAATTATATTTATGATTTTGTAATATCCAACCAGCTTCTTAATTGTCAGATTTCCCTGCAAACAAAAAGGATTTTATACAATTGTTTTTCGCGTGCGTAAAAGTTATTACGTACTTTAATTGTACATCGTGTTTCGTCCATTATTCGTAAATAGCCTTTTTGTACTATGGTATTGATAAATAAAAGTTTTGTAATTGATATGATTATGTTATCTTATTTTTTTTATTTTCTCATAATGTTTCCTCTCAATCCAACGTTTCTTCTGTTATAATAAAAAAATTAAATTTTTTAATTCGATTTTTATGCATGAGAGTCGTCATACTTATAAATTTTCATTGAAAAAATTGAATTGTCACTGTTGAAATTTATATTTAAAATACGATTCGTCAGTCTGAAAAATGTGTATTTTGTTAGCTATTTTAGTGTATGAAAGAAAAATGATAATTTACAAAAGTTCAAATGTATATATTTAACAGTCGCTTATATTACATAAACAATTTCAAGGTAACATGACGGAGTCGTAAAATAATAACAATTATGGACTTACTAGGTATTACAACTCAAATACGATAAATTTGCCATTAATACTTTAAAACAGTTGGCTTATACTATTACATTATGTGATATGCGTATTCTCATTTAAAATCGAATAAATAACGGTAAAAAATGTAAGAACGATTTAAACACGAATGATTTTAACACAGAACACTTAACGTACATAAAACGCTCGAGAAGAGGAACTAATTAAATTATTATAAAAATAAAAATTAATATTTTCAAAACAGAGTCTTTCGCAATAAAGGTATAATGGAGGAATTATCTTTTAAGGTGCACAATGAAACAAATGCATGTCGAAGATTCACTTCAGTTTCTAATTTTGTTGCAATGTCGTGAGCTCGTTTAACTATGTTAACCGGTACTCCAGCCAACCTGGCAGCATTAAAACCATAAGACTTCGGACATGCACCCTCGCTCAATTTGTATAAGAAAGTAACATTCTCCTCGCTTATTTTATCTTCATCTTCATTCTCCACCATGCAGGCCTGTTTAAAAGAATATCATTATTATTAATATAATTGATCATTGGTTATATTTATCGGTCGAGTATGTTGAAAATTGGAAAATTGGAAAATTTTTTTTTAAATATTAGATTGAAGCAATGAATATTTTAAATCGTTCATTACGAAATTTAAAAATAAAATACAATACACGCACTAGTACGTAAAAATGATAATTAACTAATTCGGCCCTAGAAATAACTTACCATGTGAGCGAGAGAAACATTATTGTTCGTTTTATAATCCTCGACAAGGGAATGATAATGAGTGGAAAATATCGTTCTGCATTTAGTTTTTGTAAGAGCTTCTACTACTGACGCAGCAATGGCAGTTCCATCATAAGTCGACGTGCCACGGCCTACAACACGATACAACAGAAGGAATAAATTAGAAAAAAATTTTTCTAACAAATAAGCGACTTCAGGTAAGATTAATGTCGTTACCTAATTCGTCGAGAAGGACTAGAGAATACTTTGTTGCATGCTGAAGTATGGCCGCAGTTTCACTTAATTCCACTAAGAATGTACTTTGACCAGCCATAATATCATCATTTGCTCCAATTCGCGTAAAGATACGATCGACTAAGGTTAATCTGCAAGCACTGGCTGGCACATGACATCCCTGGAAGAATTTTTAAATTTAACAAACATTTTGCAACTACACTATTTAAACACGACATTTAGTTAATGTAATTTCAATTATTAATGCAATAATATCATTTTAGTCTGAATTTAAAAAGAAAAGCTTTTTGGCATTAAGTAAAATAATATGAGCGTTCGTTATAATCTTTTACTTCGTTAATCACTAGATTAAAAAATGATATTAGATTGATTGTAATAATTAAAATCTTCAAACTTATCAATGAAATATTTTTGACATCCACTACACGCTCTGTTTATGGCTTAGACCAGTTATTCTTATCAAAAATTATATTGCATGATTATTTTAAATAAATGTGGTTATCAATTAGCGCGTAAAAAATAAAGAAATAAAGAAATAAACATAACCTTCGTAATGGTATTGTTAAAAATTGGTAAATAACAAATGATAAAAAATACGTACAATTTGTGCCATTATTGTAATAAGTCCAACTTGACGCATCACCGTTGATTTACCTCCCATATTCGGTCCAGTCAAAATCATTAATGGAGCTGCTTCACCACTCGCTATTGACGTGTCATTGGGGATGAAATTATCGGAAACGATGCATGGATGTTTGCCATCTATTATCTCAATAAAAATCTAAAAAAATAAAAATACCTTTAGCAACGAATGTAAAATAAACAATGATAATGTGTTAATTTTATTGAGTTATATACCTTTTCATTATTAACATCGTCGAGAATTATTGGAACGCAAGTATCGCAACTACGAGCATATTCGGAGAAGGATATTAAACAATCTAAAACTGCTATATTGTAAGTAGCCTTACTCCATTTGTCATACAGCTCGCTGAATTTGCTAAAGATCTTTCCATTACTGTTTTTCAAAACCTTGTCCTTTTGTTCCTCGGCGGCGATTTCCCTTGCAAGAAGATCCTAGAAAATAAGGAAGAAAAAGATTAACAATACTCAACATTATTCATGCTTGCTACAGAATTACTCGACAGATATAACGAATAAATTGTAACGACCTTTGCTTCATTTGTATAATATTTTTTGAATCCTTTTCTCGATCCTTGCAATTCGTAACCACTTCCAACTTTTTTAATTTGACTCTCTGGAACTTCGATTTGATACTTTTTACGGCCGCTTCCACAGAATTGTATTGACACACCGAAATGTCTTTTCTGCTTAACTAGATAATCTTGTAATTCTTTCTTAATGTCGGCAAGTTCGAGCAAAACAGCATCGTAATCACTATCAACGCCTTCTTTAGGGACAATGAAACCCTCCTTTTTAGCTTCTTCGTGATCAAATGACATCTAAAAGAAATTAACAAAATCTTTCATACAGTATAATTGCGACCACCTACAACGTACGAGTAACGGAGTTTTTTTTTGTTTTTTTTTTGTTTTTTTTTTTGTTTTTTTTTTGTGTTAAATACAAACTTTAAAATTATCTAAGGTTTCCTTCAATTCGGTGAAATTGCCTTCTGGTTCCAATTTTGTGCACTTATTAATCAATGGATTAGTAAAATCTAAAATTATAATTCATATAAATAAAGAGTCTTTAATAATATTAACGTAAATAACGAATAATATTGACCATCGAAGCATTTGATTATATTTATGACTTCTTCGAAGCCATTGAGCGCAGTTATAAATTGAACGATCGTCCTTTTCGAATAAGTTTGACCCTCGAATAATATAGCACGTCTGTCCGGGTGATTTGGTGATTTTGCTGTATTTCCTTGCGAGTGAATTCTTGAAATTTTTATAAAAATTCACGATAAATATTTGATTTCCTTTTATCGACTATACGCGAGGTAATTTTATTATTTAACCCAACATACTTGCTTAGCAAACGTTCGAGATCTGGTAAGCGACTTAATTTGCTTCGAACTTCTTGGACAACATCTGGATTATCCAATAATTGCGTCACAGCTTCTTGGCGCTCGATAATAACTGCTTTACGACAAGAAGGTCTACATATCCATTCTTGTAATAGACTTGACAAATGATAAAAAGAAAATAAACAAATAAATAAAACATGATAAAACTTATCTTTTATTAAAAGCTAAATAGTAGTAATATTGTGTTAATAGAAAGTGTAATTACCGTTTACCAAATGCGGTGCAACAATTATCTAATGTTTTAATTAAGGACCCATCGTTACCAAGAACTCGCAAATTATTTATGGTCATAGCATCCAAGACCTACATCAACGTATAACAGAATACCGAAGATAATATTAATGTAGGAAAAATTTAATAAGAAAAACATTATACACGTGTATGTTGAGGTAAATACCATATTATAAGCGAAATTCGTTTCGTTGGATTGAGAATCGATAGAGAAATCTGGAGGAACATAACTTTTAAATCGGCCCTGCGATAATAATTGATGATCCAACTTGTACTCTTTGAGTAAATATACGCAGCCACCTAAGGCTGTGACTGCTAGTTCTTTTTCTTCCGAAGCAGTGAGCCCTAAACTATCACCTGCATTGTAATAAATAAACTATTATTGAACAATAAAATGATATTATTATTGAAATAAATCATTTGCTATTCTTCACCTCTATTTAAGTATGATTGTAAGCCTTTAGGCCACGAAAAATTAGAATCATTGTCATTCTTGAAATACCCATCCTCGTGCAAGGTCTATAAATTCATGAATATACAACAACATTTTAATTTGAATCTTTATCATTAATCCCGTCAAAGGCATTTATGTCTTATTAAATGGGGAGGGCGATTGTTTGTGCAAAACGCTCTTCAACAAAAGCCGTTCAAACAATGCTTACCTGCAAAACTTTTGTAGACGTCCAAAATTCGCTATTCTTCTGTAAGGCGTCTTTCATAGCACTGGGCAATAAATTATTGAGTATTGTCAAAGTCATTCTGGTTAAATTGCCGCGCTCATAAATAATATGAGCTGGTGGATAATGCGCTAGTAAAGTTAACAGTCTAGAATTATAACTATCGTCTTGAAATTGTCCAAGATTAAATTCACCGATGGTTGTATCGATAAAGCAGACACCGTAGGCTGATCGAGTTTCGTTAGGTATGCGCTTTTCAACAATAGCCAATAAATACGAAGATGCTGCGACCGATGGCTCGGCATCTTGAGCGGTATAGGCTCTTGTTCCTTTGCTGCTAATTTGGCAAATTTCACGTTTAACAACTTTATCGAACTTTGATGGTCTTGACACTGAAAAATAACAAGATTATTTCACGATATTCACCGAACGAAGAATTATAAAATTTAAGAAAGTATTATTACTTTTAGCGCATCGTTGACTCATCATTTCTGGATTTTCCGTCTGTTCGATTCTTGCCACCTTGTAGCCTCTTTCGATTAGACTGGCGGAAAAACGTCCATAAGCAATTTCCGGAAAACCCGAATGTGCAAACTCTCCCTGCATACATTTTCAAGAATAATTAAACTTTAAATTAAGCTCTTCGAGTACTTGACTCTTTTAATAAAAAAAAACTAAATTACAAACCCTCATAAAAGACAAGCTAAGTTCTTTAACTCCAGTAACAGCATCCATATGATACAACTCATAAAATTTACCAACTTTGAAAAATAATACACAGTCGAAATGATTTGTTTTCAATAACCACCACTGATTCATGGCCTAGAAATGAAGCACAGCATAAAAATATGTAAATTTCATTGATTATTATACGTAAATTCAAAATTGGTTATGCCATACCGGTGTCTGTGTACTCAAGAAGTCCGGTGGAACATAAACCGTTTTCGGATCATAATCTGGATGACTAGGCGGACGTTTCTTATTGTCTTTAATTTTATCCGGCTGTAAGAAATCGTATTTCAAATGTGGCCATGATTGTGTATCCGATGCTTTTGCAGTTGGCTGCTCTTGATTGTTTAATATCGAATCATTTTTAGATGCTGATTTTTTTCCAATTATTTTTACTGCGGATTTCTTATTTACGGACATTTTTGGTTTTTTCTGTAAATAATTATTAAAATAATTCACAACAATATATTAAAATGCTTATTAATCAATCATTTTTATACCTTTGGAGATTCGTCTTCTTCTACTTCCTCGGAAAATGATTCTTCGGATGCATCCGATTCTTCTGAATTTTCTACAATTTATATGACAAATTTTATGTTTTTAAATAAAAGATATAGTAACGTTCGATATTATAGCAAATACAAGACCAATAATGTCTACCTGGTTCGTAATCATTTTCAGAATCATCGGTATTATCTTCTGGAACAATTATCCTTCTTCTTTTATTAGGTTTTGGTGTAACCATTTCCTTCTCATCGATACTCACATCGTTTTCATCATTCTCGTTATCATCCTCATCGTCGTCCTCGTCGTCCTCGTCGTCAAGATCCTCCAACGATCTTTTTCGCTCCTTACTTCTTTCATCTGCCATTTTACCGTATGCTTTTCCATTTGCCTTACCGTTTGTCTTACCATTCGCCTTATTATCTGCTTTATCATTCGCCTTACCATTCAATTTATTGTCATTTGAATCTACAAGTTTTTCATTAACATTTTTTAGCTGCACATTTATAATTGAAAGTTCCTTATAAATATCGTTTTATTGAACTTTTGTGGGGAACTTTAATGAACACAATTAGTTTGGCAACGAAGATTTGACGATAAATTTTATCATTCTTATCATTCTTAATCAAAAAAATTACACAATTAATTTGTTACGGATTAACGGATTAGCTATAGGTAAGCAATATTATAGTCATCTAGTTGCCTAACGTTCCTACACTCGCAAACTTCATTCATCGTATTCATGTCGATTAATTTCTCTCGACGAAAGTCCTTGAATTACTCTCCGTACACTGGCCGTTGTTTATCGACAATGTGCAAAGACATAAAAGAAACGAGGCTACAAAAGAAATTTCAAGGCAAAGCGAGTCTTTCTCCGTGCAAATTGTCTTTCGTGAGCCACTCGCGCCAAATAATAAGGCGATAGAGCAAGAGCAAGAGCGAGAGAGAGAGAGAGAGAGAGAGAGAGAGAGCGCGCTCCCAAAAAATTTGTTGCTCGTCAATACGCATTGGACCAAATAATTCATATCTCACATGCGTTATGCCAAAACTATTCTCCACTTATCGGGTCGACATTCCCATAAAGCAATCGCGACCAGCGGCGCATGCACCCGTCGTCTACGTACCTCTGTTCTTTCGTTTTCCCTTCGGGGTCTTGGATTTCGAACGGGAAAGCGACCTGGGCCTCGAGGCCGGCGAGTCGCCGTTCACCCTCGGCGAACCGACCTTCGGCGACGAATCGCCGTTCACCCTCGGCGAACCGGCCTTCGGCGACGAGAAATAATTCAACAGCGTATTCGTCTTAGACATCGTGGAATCGAATTCCCGCGGCAAGCGACACTAGCGGACAATAAATTCGCCAAGACTTCAACGACCGAGGCAAGCAACGAGGTCGGATTAACGAAGCGGGAACTTTCGCGGTGGTGGCGCAGCAGCTTCGGTAACATCGATCATCATTTCGCGCCTTCGCATCGGTCCATCCCCTCTGCCGCGACATTTCTTGAATCGACGAGGTTATGTAGCGCTCGTCTTGTCCGGGCCGATTTGTCATGAGGATTCGAATTTATTTGCGAATGACTCGAGATTGGGCTTGAGAAGAATTTGTCGCCAAATAGTCGAAACATATGTGGAGTTGATAATTCCTTGGTCGGCCAGCGAGTTTCCCTCCAAAAGAACAAAAAAAACCGGCAAAACGAGAAGCTTTTCAAGCAGTGCGTTACGAAACTCATCGCCTATTGCCAATCGCAAGTTCCGCGCAATTTCTCTTTTACAATTGCATTTGAATTTTCGCAATTATAATAAATTAATAATTGTTGCGTGAGGTGGATTTTTAGAAGAGTAATGACTGATTAACGATTATTTTGAAGTTTAAAATTTTTCACACAAATTTTTGTCGTGATATGTATATATATATATATACATAATCTTTGGGCAACCCAAGTGGTATTATTATAGATAGATGTCAGTGCGTTCTTCGTATATTCAGGATAATAAATATTAGGACATTCGTTTGCATTGACGAGACAAAGGAAGAGAAATATTATTATGGGTTTTATAGGTAATGCCATATGAGCTTTAATAAATGATAGAATTATGAATAGTAATAGGAAAGTGTCGATCGAACAATACGAGGTCGATTGACAAACGCTAAATTTATAGTATGCATTAACAATATAACGTGGACTCGAATTCTCCTATCTAATATAAAATAAAAGTATTTCCTTTTAAAGGGCGCGCGATTCGCGCACGCACACCTGTTTACCATAAATTGTCGCCATATTGCTTTTCACGTGGCTCGGGCTTCGTGCAGATCGGTCGTATACGCCTTCTAGTTTCGAATCATCGAAGTATCGCGAATGCGTTCAGCTGCTTAATCATTACTTTAAAAAATGCAACATTTCGATCTTCTTATTCAAGAGATCGAAGGAATCGACGATTATTTAGGCCCGACATTCAGGTACTTATGTTGTTTATTATTTAAAGCTTTTGAATTTCGAACGATTGATAGTGATGTCAAAACGCGCAGGTTCGCAGTCGTAAGTAAGCCCCCCGTGATATCTCGCATTTGCGCACTAACGAGGGATGATAAGGGAAATATTTCTCCCCTTGCGAGGCAAAGAATAGTCCCAAATAAAATTTTTCGAAAATGGATAACTTATCGCTCGCTCCCCCAGTGCAAAGTGCTTTAATTGTCACTGCTCCAAAACACGAGCATTTACTTACCGAGATCGAATCCTCGGATATCAATAGTATGGGTCTCGTAATAAGGTATTTTTTTCAATTAAACACCATAATTTTTAAGCCTGCATATCGATAATTTCGGTATACCCAATTGCTTAAAAGTTATCTCGGTTTTCGCCAACTAATGTTATTCCGTTAAACAAATGAACAGTTTGTTATATCAGATATCAGTTTACAGGTGACATTCCATAACAAGTTGTATAGTATAGTATGGTGAATTATCATTCTAATTAAAATTTTATCTTTATAATTTCCCCTCGATCTTTTATAATTCATAATGTAATATTATTACGTTCACATACATTATCGGTTGATCCATTATCGCATTAGTCATTAATTAATTGAATATTATTTCAGAGCAATTTATGATGGCAATGAGCACCAAAAGTTTATGGAAAAATTGGATGATAGAGTTAAAAGCCACGACAAGGATATCGAACGAATGTGTAATCACCACTACCAAGGCTTTATCGACTCAATTCGTGAATTACTTCAAGTCAGATCACAAGCTCAACAGCTTAATGCAAGTTTTTATACAATTATCTTTCATTAGAATATAAAGTTCAACATAGCCGATAAAAGCATTCACAAAATAAAATCGAAATTTAATTAAATTTAATTAAAATTAAAAAAAAAATGTTGCTTACTTAAATACATGAAAGAGACATATTCTTTACAGACAGAGATATTGGATTTGGATAAACGAATTAGCTTAACTTTAAATAAAGTGATAGAAAAAAGAGATGAGCTGGTAAAAGCAAGAAAAGTAGAAAGTAATATAGCCGCGGCCGTTGATAGTTTAACAATGTGTCTTCCAGTATTAGCAGCTTATGCCAAATTACAAAGACAATTGAAGGATAAGCGTTACTATCCGGCTTTAAAAACTCTTGAACAATTAGAGTATCACGACTTACCGAAAGTAAAGAATTATAGATTCTCTTCACAAATAACACAACAAATACCATTGTAAGTTGTAATGCACAATTTTTAGGTATAACGTATCTAATCACAATATAAAATTTAATTTTAAATTTCACATGTAGATTAAGAAAAAATATTAAGGACGCATCTATGACAGATCTACGGGATTTCTTAGAAAATATTAGAAAGCATTCGCCATTAATTGGTGGAGTTGCTATGAAGCAGGTAAGAAAACTGTTTGATTATCCATCTAGCTCGGATGATTTAGAATTGAATTATTGTTTCTTAATTTGTAGACGGAGGAACAGCTAGAGCACGAGGCTGAAATAATTGGTAGGAAAAAGAGAAAAGCTCAAAGCAGTACTAGCGTAGTCGACGGTGAAGAAAAACTTAGTGCTCAAGAATTCATGGATTATAGCTCTGTTTATCGATGTATGCATATTTATTCCGTTCTTAGAGAAGGAGACACGTTTAAAGCTTATTACAGACAACAACGGCAACAGCAAGCTCGACTTGTATTACAACCACCAATTAATATGGTAACTATTTAAAGCAATTACATTTTATCATCTATTCATGTACATCAAATTAATGAATTAAAATTTTAAAGAATTATTCTATTAAAAATTATATACAGTATTTATGAATTCACATTTTTATCAATATTTTTTAGCACGAAAGCATAGATGATTATAGACATTATATTCATGGAATTGTAGGCTTTTTTGTGGTTGAAGATCATATTTTGAACACTGGCAATGGTTTAACAACACGATCTTATTTAGATGAACTTTGGTCAATGGCATTATCTAAAATTGTTAATGCATTAAGAACACATTCTGTAAGTAAAAAAGGTATACTTAATAAAGCAATTTAAACAATAATAATCTTTTTTGTAGGCTTATTGCACGGATGCAATTCTTATTTTGAAAATAAAGAATTTAATTATGCTATTCAGTACAACACTCAGGGTTAGTACAATATGTTCGATTAATATAATTGTACTTCTATTAAGATTTCATTTATGTTTAGAATTATGGCTACTCTGTTGGTCAATTATTCGATTTACTTCAAGAAATAAGAGTTCATTATAATGAGGTATTAATGCAACATTGGGTACAAGTATTTCGAGACATTTTAGATGAAGATAATTTTCTTCCAATTCAGGTATAGTATAATGAATTTTAAGTGACTTATAATATATTTTAAGTAGCTTATGTGCGTAAGTTGTTCTTGCGACGCAGGTACATTCGCAAGAAGAATATGATAAAGTCCTTACGTCATTTCCATACGAGGATGAAGAGTTACAAAAGGCAAATTTTCCAAAAAAATTTCCCTTCTCACCAATGGTACCAAAAGTTTATCATCAGGTTAAAGAATTCATTTATGCCTGCCTGAAATTCTCGGAAGACTTAAATTTAACACAAACAGAAATTGACGAAATGATCTGCAAATCCACCAATTTATTATTGACACGAACTTTCAGTGGATGCTTATCATCACTATTTCGTAAACCTTCATTAGCACTTATACAGGTCATTCAAATAATTATAAACACGGGATATCTTGAAAAGTCGACCAAGTATTTGGAAGAATTTGTTTCTAATATAACTGGGTAAGTCAATTGCTTCAATGTGTCAGTGCCACAGTCCTCTCGGTTCAATGTAACAAATTCAGTTAGTTCATTATTATAAGAAAAATATATTTGTATACAAATATATATCAATTAAACATACGTATTGAATTGTAATTAATGGAAGCATTTTCTAATGTATTTTATATGCATTTTTCAGATTCTATATATTACCATTATATTACCAATTTTTTACATTAAAAATACGATTTAAAAATTATTGATGCAATGTATTTTGTAAGTTTCTTTAATAAGTGAAATTATTTTGTTTAGCACACCACACGAAGGCCAATTGAGCAGCGGTGGCCTTAAGTCAGCTATGTTTAGGGTAGCGAGGGATGACGCTGAGAAACAAATTTGCGAAAAACTAAAGCAGAAGCTCGACGAATTTCTCGAATTAGAAAATTACGATTGGAATCTCGCGGAACCACAAGGGCATGCTTCGGGTTTCATTACTGATCTTATCGCATTTTTGCAAAGCACTTTCACATGCTTTACAAACCTACCCGTAAGTATTTGCACATGACAATTTTGAGCTTCAGCAAATTGTACGAAATATGATTTTTCAGGCCGAGGTGGCTCAAGTTGCCTGCAAATCTGCCTGCTCACACATTGCAAAATCCATTTCAAATATTCTAGTAAGCGAAGACTTAAAGCAAATTTCAATGGGTGCCCTTCAACAAGTCAATTTAGATACAATTCAGTGTGAACGTACGGAAATTAATTTATTAGATTTTATTAGATATGAATAAGCACATACATATTTATTAATATGTAAATCTTCAACAGAATTTGCTGCCTCAGAACCTGTTGTTGGACTGCCCGAAGGAATATTGTTGCAAGAGTTCGCACAATTAAGACAACTACTTGATTTATTCATGAGTTTGGATTGGCCTACTTATTTCCATGATTACATAAGTGAATCGAGTAAATACAACCTTGTAACACCTCAAATGGCCGTTATATTACTTGAGAAGTAAGAAAAATTATATAAACAATAGGATAAAACCTTTATATTTAATAATAAATTTTACAATTTTTAGGTTGAGAGAATCCGATAAAAAAACAGTATTTTCTGTATTAAAAAAAAGTGAAAGAGATAAGAAGAAGTTGTTAGAAACTGTTTTGAAGCAGTTGAGACAGCTAGCACAAACTACTCAACAGTAGAATGCGATTTTTTTCAATTGTAAATATATTATATATATATATATATATATATATATATATATATATATATATATAGATAGATAGATATAATGTAATTTATTGAATATGAAATGCTTAAAATTTAGTATTTATTGTATAATTATGCATAATGTTATACATCTACTGGAGTTATTGATTCAGCAGTGCCTTAATATATTATTTATAAAAATTTTGCAAATAAGAAGACATGTACTTTTGAAGCTCCTTTATGTTTATCACTTCAGTTTTTTTGTCTTTTTTTGTAATACATAATGACATTATCGTTAATTTACATGTCTATTCTGTGTTACATATTGTACATGATTTTAAAAGCAACTGCACATCAGACAATGTATATCAAAGTATCAATTTGCCCACAGACTTTAACACCCTAATAATTAAAATTAAAATATTTAATAATAAATGATATCGTGAGAATTTTTCATATTTCCTATTAAACTTAAATTTTGTTACACAGTACACTTTGTTGTGGTCTTGTAATGATCAGTCCAAAATATAATATTACAAAGTATGCATGATTTTTTTTTTGTTTTGTTTTTTTTTTTTATGTATTTGACAAGACAGATATAATAATAATAATAATAATAATAATAATAATAATAATAATAATAATTATAGTCGCATTAAGAATAGTAAAATAGTTTAAATACAAATCGTCAACAGTGATTCCAGAAATCCATGATGACCATTCCTATGATTTTTTTCTCTTCTGGAATCTTATGAGACAAGTATTTATTTCCAAGTGTTTGCAAAAATGATTGATATTGTTCATAGCATGCACTTATCTTGTAGTATTTTTCCTTCTTCATCTTCACCAATGGTGACAAATTTTGACGAATTCGATCATGGAACATGAATAAATTTTTAATGAGTGAATTTACTCTTCAACATTGTCGGGATCAACATCATCTGGCAACATGGAATATTTGTTGGAAGCCACAAAATTCTGTAAACATAATATAATTAACATTATTGAAAAATGTGATATATTATACAGTTTTGAAAGTCTTGTCGAAGTCTTTTATTACTCACTGGTGCTTCATCATCTTTTGCTTTTGACATTCTACTCATTTCATCTTCATCGTTATCTTTCTTTTTTTCTCTAAAAAAAAAAAAAAAAATAGAAGAAAATGCATTACTCAAGGTTCATATTTGCATTAATTTTTCATTATTTTTTAACGCACATGTGTCTTACAAAGAGTAAATAATAAGAAAAGTCATTTTCAAGCATAATTTTGTCACAAAATGTATCAACGATTTGTTATTATTTTCTTAAGGGTTCATAAAAAATGAAATGACAAAATTCCATAAAGGTAATAATATAATGTTATCATAGCGATTGAATGGAATAAATATTAATCGATTACTCAGTTGATTAGAAAATTATACATTAGAAATTTTACGAATTCTTTAATATTAACAGCAGAACCACAAATACATCTTTTAGTTTCAACATTCTTACACAATCGATAGGAAATTAATTCGGGATAAAAAAAAAGTACGAGGGGGTAAACTCCTTTTGCCCAGAATCCGCAAAAAGAGCAAAAAAAAAAAAACGACTTTTACCTCTCTGCCCCGTCTGGTGGAGGTCGGGAGTCGATCTGTTTTGGTGGTCCCCGAGCTGGCGGTGGGGCAGCGCCGCGATTCATCGATGGCCCTCGTGAATCACCTGTCGGTTCCATCGTCTCTCTCGACTCTCTCTGCTCTCGGTAATCCCGATAATCACGCTGATCCTGATAATCTAAAAGAACAAAAGAACATTAAAGCTCGATGAGCTTCAACAATTTAACGTAAAGCCAGTAGACCTTAGCAAATCAAGATTGTCCTTTTTAATTCTTACCAGGACGTGATTGACGACCGCCAGATCTATCCATACGTCCTCTATCATCGTAAGATCTCCAAGTGGGTCGACTTCTGTCCTGATCGTCGCGACCTTCCTGCAAAAAATATATCAACATTATCTTCAAAGTATACGACTGCAGGGATCGACTTTTAAAATCCACGTATAAACATGCTCGCGTCTAACCAAACATCATCTCTTGTTAAAGCATCATTCAACCCTTAATTATCACAAAATCACTCTTTAATAACGCACCAAGTACGTAACTTCAATAACTTAAGACTATGATTAATGATGAAGTGCTTACCCCATTACGACGACCCCACGCTCCTTCTCTCGGAGTACTACGTTTCTCTCCTTCTCTGAAAAGCGAAGTAACGCATTAGCAATAAGTTTATTTGTCAAGCTTACGACTGGTCCTGGCCCAAATGTGCGCAACATATCGAAAGTAACGTCGACATTATTACACAGATATAGAAACATAGAAAACAATGGTGGTATGTTGGGTATGTTGAGGGTATGCTCCACAAACAACCCATCAACCTACCTCTCATCCTTGGGGCGCATCTCCGCGGATTTGGCGAGACGTTCCTCGATCTCGCGCTCCCTGGCTGCGGTGTCGACCGGACGCGCGGCCCCGAAAATATTGGCCGAGGACGTTGGAGTCGTAGTAGCCACCACCTTCTCCTTGGAGACATCGTCATCGGACTCCTTCTCACCGCCAGTGGATTCAACCGGTTTTGAGCGCGGCTGCAGGTTCAACTTAGGCCTGGTACGGCCGCTATCCACTGCCGCGGGAGGAGGCCCTGGAATACAAAATGCCGGGTTTACGTAAGTCATGCAAAATTTGGGCCTCGTCACTGTCAATATCACGAAGCGCCCGTACGATAATTATCGCAATATAGCTCGCAGCTCGCATCTAGGTGTAAAAATTAGCGCGCGCCGACGTGAAAGTGAGGATATAGTGATTGACGAAGGAAGGAAGGAAGGAAGGAAGGAAGGAAGGAAGGAAGGTAGGAAGGAAAGGAAGGAAAAGAAGGAAGGAAAAGAAGGAAGGAAAGGAAGGAAAGGAAGGAAAGGAAGGAAAGGAAGGAAATCGAAATAATGCCCATTCGGATGCCCACTTCTCGACTTGGTACTACTTGGTACTCGTTTATTGGGAAATGCCAAGGAGGAGACGGCGATATCGCTTAGAATGCGCTTATTTCCAGAGGGTCATTTCCGTCCGATACGTGTCGAATTCCCAGTAGCCTCGTACAACCATTCGGTTGCCCAATCACCTACCGGGGTATGGCGCGCATAATTGTAAATATTTTTTTGGGCTCGTTAATAAAAACCAGCGAGCCGAAGAGTTGCTTTGAAAGTGCAACCGGGCCTTTTGTATAAATGACAAACAAACAAAAAAAAGTGCATATACTTTTATCACTTATTTTGACGAAATGCAAATTTATCATACACGATAATAGTGTGTGGCGTTTGTAATTTATCGTCAATAAAACAATAACCGCTTAAAACTAATTTAATATTAAATATCAGGCATTTGTTTAAATGAATGCATTATATAACAACATATTTGGAAATTCGTACTTTCAAATGACTTATTTTATAATAAAATAAATTACATTTAATGACTGATATTAATCAGCTGACTTCTCTTACAAGTGTTGCTATTTATAAAATATATATACGAATACAGTATGTACTATATAGAAGGAAACGTTGTTTTCTCGATTAAAACCAGTCTTACGGATAATACTAAAATAATAATAATAATGGAACTTAATAAAAATAAAAATAAAAGGTTGAATTTTTTATACTGTTAAAGTGCCTAAGAGCTTCTATAAAAAATCGACTGTGGCGAATAAAATGTTTATCTTGTATTTTTAATTTCATCGCTGGTACGCTCTATATAACATATAACATATATATATATATATATATATATATATATATATATATATATATAACGGTGGTATGCAATCTGTGATCAATTTTTTGACAATTTTTCTATCATCGGTACTTTTATCTATGCTTTATCCGTAGCTATGCAATAAATTAGAAGCTAAACGAGAAACGTTTCCGAGCCCAGAACACCTTTCATACGAAGCGTTTCTCTTTATAAAACTGTTGAGGCGCCATTTTAAAAGTAGAAATTTTGGAAAATGCTTGTGAGCAGAAGCTGTTCATAAATAAAATAAAAATAAATTTTTAAATCATCGTTAAGGTGGTATTATCCATTAAATTTATCAACGCCGTGATAAACGAGCAATTGCAAACACATAAAGATCTACAAAAATTTTCAATAAATAGAAATAAAAGCGATCGTTAAACTAATAATTGTAAGAAAAAGTTAAACTCTCTTTGCTTGGACTTTGCACGTTTCGAGTCGAAATCATAGTCATAGATATTAAAAAAGTAGCTGTGAGAAAATACTTCGAAGAACGTATTAAATGGCCCATTAATTAGATAGATAAAGAAATAAAATTGAATGATGTCGATGCTAAGGTGTCGTGTTAAATTTTGGGTCGAGGCAGTTGATTGGCACATCTAGACACATAGAAGTCAATCTCAACGACAATGTTTCGTCGTCTCAATGTGTTTCTCAACACTTACCGACTCCTATTACGTAATAAGCCAGGCCAGTACACTCCATATATATATATATATATATATATATATATATATATATATATATATATATATATCGTTCTTAACAAGCTTCTACACGCTTTATAACGGATTAATTAATTATTAGAGATGCTTAACGACAACTAGTTTCTAGTATGAAAGTAATTGTTTCAAAGTAAATCAATATTTAAATAAACTCTTTTTTCTTTCTTTTTCGTTTAAATGTTCTAATACATGACGACTTTAAGATACAACATTAAAGAACAACATTTTTTCAGAAAAATGTTATCTTTTTGTCGTAGCGCTCAAGCTACTCCTTATAAATACTTGTAAAATTGTTTATGCAAACTTATTACTACTTATTATGAAATCTTAGACTTAATTAAATTGTTCCGAGGCTGGGAAGACGACTACGCGTCTATCTTTTACGATTTGTCCCCTGTTTATTTTAATTTTCCTATCCAGACAACGCGTGATGTGGCTTATTTAAAGTACAATGTTAAAATCTACACA